GTCGTAACTTTGTTTTACTTTTTGTGCTGAGTTCTATTTTTTTTTTTTTGAAATATTACAATCGGTTCATTGCTTCGTAATCCGATTCGAGACGGGTCCAGGATTAAAGCTTTAGGGCTCGTTTGGTGGACATGATAGGATAAGGGTAAGATATGATACGGGGCTGATAAGGGTAGGATATAATATGAGACTGATAAGCCTATATCATATCCTGTGTTTGTTGAGCATCTGATTAGGAATCTGATAAGATTATATAAAAAGAGAAAAAAGAAATAATAAATAAAATATAATGCAATAAATACAAATATATTGGTTAGAGTGAGGATATTGGATAATGTGAGGATATATTGGGTATTAAATATTATTATCCTATCCTGTTGAATCCTAACCCAGCTCCCCTATAGGATAAGAAATCATGTATTAAATAGGATAAAATGAGGTAATAGGATAAGCTAATCATATCTTATTGACCCACCAAACAAGAGATAAAAGTAGAATATGATAAATTATCTTATTCTATCTTTTTTATCAGGTGCTTTAAACATATCCTTAAACTCCTCCCAAAAGTGGGAGTGCCCCCTGCTGAGTTCTATTTTAAATTTACATTTTCGCGGAATATTGCATACCATATAGCTAACTGCTAAGGCCCAGTCTAAGAAAATGGAGAGAGAAAACATGAAACGAATTAAGGAAAAGCAAGGAGTAATGAGAGTCACGTGAGCTCAGAAAATCCAACATCAGAAGTGAAATAAAGAGATCCAACATAAAACAAAGATAGATTATGAGATCACCTATCACTGCCCCCTGCTGTACGTGAAGGCTACCTCACTGAGAAATATCACTAGGATGTTTGGCTATTACAATTGAAATGCCTCTTCTGTCGTGCAAATTGGTGGATAAGTTTATGCCTTTCTGAAATATACTCTCTCTCCTCATTATGCTCCCTTCCTTAGATACAAAAAACTGGCCTTTAACTCAAAATTGCATTCTTGCAACTCTTCCTTCCCCTCCTTTTCTATTCCCAACTATTTCTTTCTCTGGTCAGCCCGTGTTGAAATGTCAAAATCCAAGCTTGTATGTCCTGTCACCATCACCTTAGATTCTCACTCTCTGGGCATGTCAATGGAATGCATCTTTTCTCTTTTTTTTTTTCCCCTCTCTCTCTCTTCTTGTTCTTTTCTGTTCCTTATTTTAATGAGCACAGAGATGGAACGCAGAGACAACTTCGTGTCTGCTTTTGATATTTTTTCCTACCTTCCTGCGTTAGTAACCACAAATATTGTTCGAAGAATTCAGCGTGAACGGTTGAGTGAAATTTTTTTATATTAATTAAGAATGAATTAAGTGAGCGTATAAATGGAACGATCTATCTACCTAATATCTTAATGTTTTGAAATTCATCTAATATTGCCGCTCACTCGATTCATAGTTAAAGATCTCTCCACGTTATAAGCTCCCGTGCACCGTCCAACAAATATCACAAGAAACTAAGAAAAATACAATGACGGAATGAATCTCTAAGGTGGTGTTTGGTTTATGGTTTTTGAAAACTTTCCTATACAAATGAAGCAAGCATTTCAGTTTGCACTTGTTTGGTTCAACATATTCACTCAAAATTCCCATCCATCCAATTTGCATTGCTTTTTCAATTTTTTCAATTTGCATAGGAATTGGTACTGTTTAGAAAGACAAAAGGTAGGTGGTTTTATTTGGAAAGCAGGCTAAATCACTGTGCATAAAATTTCTTGCAGACGATTATATCCTTCTGATAATTAAATTAACTATGCTTTCTTTCAACTGCAGGATGAACTGATGTGAGCTGCAACGTGGCTATACTTTGCAACGGGACAATCTATGTATATGAAGTACATACAAGAAGATGTCATAAATGCTAGTGTGGCAGAATTCAGTTGGGACCTTAAATAATGGAGTTGATTTAATTATAAAAAACACATAGATTAAAAAAATAAAAATAAAAAAATAAAATTAAACCGGGGTTATTTTTGTAAAAATAGCTTTTTTCTCATCTATATTTTACCTACACCCAAACATAGACTTTATAAAAGTTACCTAATTTTCCCATCAAAATTTTATCCAACCAAACAACTTTTTTTACATTTTCCTATCAAACTCACATTCTAACCATTTCCCTAGTAATCACATTTCTCTATTATTCATAAAATTTTCTCCTCAACCAAACGCCCCCTAAGGGGCATTTGGTACACGTCATTCTCTAGGATTTTCGGGAAACTGAATTTTTCTAAATTTTTAATTTTCGAATATTATTGTAAACTAAATGTAAAAATCATCTACCAAACAAAAAGGGGTATTGAAACTCAAAGCAAATAAACAAAGCGAATATAATTTCTCATGTTGAAAAAATTATATTATATTATGCGTACAAAAAAATTTGAATGAAACTCACTTGTAATTATATTTTGATTTTTGTAATATTAGAAATTATATTCCTATAAGTAAAGCTATACACGTTCTAAGGCTAGTCTCTCGCTCTTGTGTACGAGTTTCCAAAAGAGAGTGAAAATGATATAAAACTTCATTATTGGAGATTGGAAGATGTATAGTATTTCGAATTCGATAGGTACAATGATGCAATTATCAGATTGGAATGTGCTTAAACTTGACCGGATCCTTCGAATCGGCCTTGAGCCTTCCGAATAATGCTCACGTTTCGCGACATTATAACTCTTTTATTAAACTTCTTGCGTTGCTATCTGCTTATTAATGGAAAAAGACTATGAAAGATGTTTCTTTTTTTGGTATTAGAGTTTTTTAAGAGCAAGCATTAACTAACCTGCCAGGAATGAGATATGAAAAGGAAAGCTAACCCCCGAAACTTGTTATTAATCTTCCTCTACACGAGAACCAAACAACATGGAATCTCTTTGTGCGAAGGACATAACAAGTTTCCTGCTTTTTTTTTCGGGTATGATGATCGCGCGTTTTCCACATTAATTGCCAGTATACGCCATCAATGAAGACCAATCTTAATCTTCTTTTTTTTCTTTCTGTAAACAAGACCAATCTTAATCTTAAGTAAAGAACTTTAAATACATTCGATATGATCCAAACTTTAATTTTGATTTTGATTTCTATTTTTTACACAATAATTTTACTTTCTCAACTCTATCATGTGAATTATTAGTGTATTCATCGGAAGGGGGCTAGAGAGAGGTAATGAGAAATTGTTGTTTGATGTTTCATTATACTTTTTAAGGAAAGAAGAAAAATTTTATAATGTGATGTTGTGGCGTGAAAAAAGTTTAAGCGGTATTAATAATATTTGTAAACAATAATTGTAAGTTCAAATGAGTTTATTTATTCTTCTTAATCACTTGAGTTTGAATTTTGAGAATTGAAAATATAATTTTGTAAGAGGGACATTTTATTTGAGTCCAATTATGCTTGAACTGGATTAAATCAAATAACCAATGAACTGAAGAAGAAATAAAAAATATTTTTAACATTAATTTTATCCCCTTTAGAGGTTTTATCTAACATAAATCAAAATCATTGTATAGATGATTATAGTTATTAAATCGATCTAGCTCAATCATTCAATCAAATAAGTATATGAATAAGCATGAAATCGATGAATTGGATATAAACTACATCTGACTGATGTTAGACCGGTATCGACACAATGTAACTTGCCTAATTTTTTTAGTAAACAATTAACTAAATTTTTCATATTCAAATTTTAAGGATCCTTGTTAGTGTATCATAAAAAATACTTGTTAAGAATTTCAAGATTTGTACTAAAAAAAAAAAAGAATTTCAAGATAAAAAATACAAATAAATTTTTAATATATTAACTATTTTAAATTTTTTCGGGTAAATAATTTTTTTATTCTTTAACGAATACCCTTATTAGAATGGAAAAAATGTGTCATTTTAAAAAATGTAAAGTTATGTCATTTTAAGAAACAAAAATAAATAGATAAAGAAGGAGGGAGAATTGACAAAAAAATAAATATGTAGATCTCACCTCTTTGTGAGAGTAAAATAATATAAATTATATCATTTTTTTTTTTTGGAGAATAAATATTTTTTCCTATTAATATTATAAACAAATATACTCAGAAAACAAGCATCCTAGACCTAGATGTTCATCCATATAAGGCATCTGTGTATTATATACCAGGCTCCTCTTTTATAGTAATCTGTGAGAAACGTAGGTCAACCATTGATGAAGACTAGCATGGCAGGAAAAAAACAGAATCTCATAAAGAAAAGAAGTAAAATATGCTTTGTACTAAAAAAAAAAACAAAAAAAAAAGTAAAATATGAAAGAGAAGTGTGAACATAACATAGTTCACAGTTGGCAGCGTATCTAATCTAAGGGTGATTTGACACCGCGTGCAGAGTCCAAACAATCTTTCCCGACGGCCAGCGACAGCGTGCAGCACACAGAGAATTCAATACCCTATTCTATCTAACAACTCTATCCTATGCCTATGCCTATTCCTATTCCTAATTGCCTATCCTTGTCACAGTATCACGTCACTCCAAATCCAATCCTTTCTTCAACTTTGAATCTTTCCATGTAAATATATGTGTTTGTAATACGGAGATAATTTCATCTAATGCAGTTAATTAAGAGCGAATGAGATTTCTTTTTTCTTTTTCAAATAAGTCTTATTTATTTTTTTATGAATTATATAAGATAATTTCATATCATGTAATATAAAAAATATATTTTCTTAAATATTTATAATTTTATAATTTGAATTTAATGTCACTACAAAAAAATAGATGATTAGTAAAAGTTAGTTACTGTAGCTTAAAAAAACCACCATTAAATAATATAAATTTTGGCAGGCTTTAGACCTCCACAGTTTATTATTGTTTTTGTACTTTATATTGCTTTATCTCCATTTAATAAACCTTAACGATCGTGTGACACCTGTCAATTAATATGCTCTAAAAAAATTTAAAATAATAAATTTTATTATGCAATAAAAAACGAGTAGTATCTCCAAACGCCACACCTTTTCTCTCTCGCTCTTTCTCTTATCCAATTCTCAGCCCTCTTTATTTATTCTCAAATTCTCAGTCTCACAATCTACTCACAACACACACCAGCCTTTTTAAATTCTGATTTCTTAATCTCTTTTTTCATTCTAATTTCTTCATTTCTCTTTTTATTTTTATTAGGGTTTGGACCTGTGTTTCGTTTGCCAAAATCATGCCTCGTTATCTCTCTTTCTCTCCTCTGCTATTTGTGGTTTTTCTTACCAATCGTGAGTAATTTTGGGATTTCAAACTCTTTAATTGTTTGGTTTAGATTTTGTTTTCAATTTTGATTGGGGAATTCATTTCGCATCGCATAAATTTCGCATTCAGTTAGGGGCACCGCCATGGACGAAGCCGTGAAGGCGTAGAGGAAGGCGGTGCTATCGTCGCCGAGGTCGGTGACATAGATGATAAACGAATCGCACAAGTTCTACTAATACAGGTATTATTTGCTTTATGTTATGCAAACACTTGAAAAATGATTTTTATATTTTTTTATATGTTACTTCTTCGGTGACACGGAGAACAAGCTTTCTTGGCGCTGATGATTTTTATATTCAAGGTGTTCATGGTTTCATATTTTTCATGATATTGTGTAACACCTTATATTTTTGTCTACAGTTATTGTTCGTGGACTATCATCTTCTGCATCATGGCAAGATTTGAAGGTATTGAAATTTTCATACTTAAAAACTGAATAACTATTTAAATCACGATCACCTTATTAACTACGTTTTGAATATTTGGTTTCAGGATCATATGCGAAAAGCTGGCGATGTTTGTTTTGTTGAGGTTTCCCGTGATAGTGAAGGTAAACTTTCATTTTCATTTTTGTTATGCTATATTTTTATTAGACTGTTACCATGAATAACTATGTTTAATTATGAAAAAATTACAATATATACATTAACAAACTTCTATTCATATAGGAAAAGATATGATATAATTAGTCTTCTCCCTACTTATTGATGTGGCAATTATAAAATGTATAATGGATACCTTTTCTGGATGGCTTTTTAATACTTTTTGACACCGGTAAAAAGCTGGCAAGGGTGTGCCTTTGAAATTATGTTTTAGCTTTGATTTCGATTGAAGATATGTTCTTTCTACCTGTTTTACATTAGATTTATGCTCTAGTTTTATGAAATATGGAGTTGGAATGTATCTCTCATTTAGGAAAATATTTGCAATATCTCTTATTTAGGTTTCCTACACCCGACTTTGAGGTTTCCTATCTATTTCTTCTAATTGGATATTTGAGCTCTGCTTAAGATAGTTGACATTTAAAAAGTTTTGCAATTTTGGTGAAACTTATTGAAGTTGATCACATAACTAGAATTTCATGTTGATTTTGTAATCATGTGTTAGTTTTTTTGTATACTATCCATATTATCATTGAGAACATATGTTAGACACCCTCCTATTATTACTACAGTGTATGTTAGGAAGATAGGGAAGGGCAGCAGAGGATTGGATGCTCACATGGGTAACGAGGAAAATAGGAGAGATAATCGTTATGGATATTTGAAATGTAACAAATAGAATCAGTTGGAATGAAAGTGGTCACAGGAATGGAGGAGGGATAAGATAGGAGTAAGCAAGTTTCGAGTGCTCACCTAACAGCTTAAGCTGCTATGAGATGAAGGCTCATGAATTATTTTTATCTAACAGTCTATTTTCTTTCCTGTTTTGGTGACTGTTTTGCGTCAGTTCTTGTACAAATCTCCTTCTAATACTAATATCACTTTTAATATCAGTGGAAGAGAAGATATTTTAGTAAATATTTTTAATGAAACAGTGCTCTATTTTCCAGTTTCATATCAACTTACTTGAGAGGTGCTTATGAAGGTGAAGTCACTTTCTTATCAATTCTTTTATGTGTTTAACATATCAATAGTGAAGCGGAGCAGCCAAGGAAATCAGGGTTTTCTTTGCATTTTCCTTTTGCAAATGACTTTGACTAGTAGATGAAGCTTTGGGAAGTTGTTTAATTTTACATTAATTAATGCTAATGAAAAAGAAGATTGTTTTTTCTTTCTTTCTTTTCCCACTCAGTTTTAATTCACTTCTGTAGTGACTAATACTTAAGGTATTATTTGCTCAATTGAAAGGTCAAACCATCCCCAAAATGTAGTTTGTTCAATGGAATCAACAAAGAGCTTAATCTTGGATGAAAGTGAAGAAATTTCATCAGATCTTCTAAGGCCTCTATTACGTAGTGTAAGAAAGGAATGTCAGGTAACATACTTTGCACTATATCAATATTCTTTTCTTTTCATCTCTTTTATTTATTTGTTTTGGTTATTTGTAATTTCGTGTCCTTTTATATTTTTATTTAATTTTGTCAATCTGGTGTATTTTATTTTTCCAGACTATTTCTCCTTGTTCTTGGACACTGGGGGAGAAAGTAATTAGCAATTGTGCTGTTAAGCTGAAGCCTTATCTAATAAAAGAGGTGGAGTCCTCTGGCATAGCTCTCAATGAGTATGCACACATAATAACTGATATTTTCCAGAACGGTTCTGAATCTCCCCAATGTGATCATTCAGATGGTTCTGAGAAGGCAGTGGTACATTTTACTTGTCCTGTGTGATACTCATCAGATAAACTGGTATAGATAACATGTGATATTCTTGATCTTAATTTTGCTTCATGTTGGAAACCATGCAAATTTAATTGACCTGCAAAATCTCTAGAACCTTGACTGTTGCTATTGCTTCATTAGTACATTTTTTTCTTAATTTTGTTTCAAATAACCAATTTGAAATATGTTTGTGGTTATATGTGTTTTAAATCATAAGCATACTGGTTCTCCTTCTTGAAACCCTGCAAAAAACATATTTCAAGAAGGAGAACCAGTATGCTTTTTAGATTTCATGTAAGAGAAATAAAATATTCTTTGCCAAATATTTGATTAGGATTGCATTGCATAATAGATTAAGATGTGATTATTAAAAATAGGGCTCATTGCATATTATTTCAGTGTGGAGAAAATACAATATTCATGAGAGGAGAAAATACAAGAGAGAGAAGAGAGAAGAATATACAAGAAAGAAAAGAGAGAATTAGATTTTCAAGATTATGATTCTTTCTTGTGCATCAATTGAAGAGCTTTCTCAAGAACATTCATTCATATATTCATCCTTTGGCTAAGTGAATATTTATCCATAGAAATTCAGATTACCTATATGCTTGAGGAAAAGAAGCACTGAGGTAAGTCATTTAATTGTAATTTTCTTCTTGACCTTTTTGAATGTCTGTACTGGGAAACTTGGATACCAGTTCTTGTGCTGGGAAACTGGGAGACCAACATGTCTTTTTTTCTTGGAAATTGAGAGTAAGTTGAGAACCCTTGTGTGATAGAGTTTCGGAATTCTAAAGGGTTAGGATTTCGTACTGGGAAACTAGGATACCAGTTTGGGAATTTGTGTAAGGGGTAGACTAGGAAACTAGGATACTAGAGAACTCTTTGTACACAAGTTTCATAGTGGAGTTGCCCGTCGAATTTCAGTATTCGATTATAGAGCCCATGGTTTTTCTTCCCTTTTGAGTTTTTCACGTAGAAACTATTGTGTTAATATCTCCCCATCCTTATCTTGATTAATTGCTTTGAGTTAATTTTAATTAGCAAATTATTTTTATAAAACTCAATTCACCCCCTTTGAGTTCATCTGGACCAACAGTTATGAGTAGATTGTGAGACTGGGAATTTGAGAATAAAGAAAGAGGGCTGAGAATTGGATAAGAGAAAGAGCGAGAGACAAAAGGTGTTGTGGCGTTTGGAGATGCTACTCATTTTTTATTGCATAATAAAAATTATTGTTTTAAATTTTTTTTAGAGCATATTAATTGACGGGTGTCCCACGATCGTTAAGGTTTATTAAATGGAGATAAAGAAATATAAAGTACAAAAGCAATAATAAACTCTGGAGGTGTAGAGCCCGCCAAAATTTATATTATTTTATGGACATTTTTTTAACCTTCACTAGTCACCTATTTTTTTTAGTGTCATCATGCCGTTTATGAATTTTATCATATTACCTCATTCCTGAATCGATGTTATGTCTACTTTGATTCTTTTTCTCGCGAGAGTTGCCACTTTTTATTTGGTGGTGTATCCCTGCATGAAATTTTCTTTATAGGCTAATATTTGGACTCAAGCAAATCTATCCGGCTACGAATCACATAAGCCCTATCCCATAGGGCAATATATCGTTTTAAAAAGAATATGTAATCACCTTAAACTTTAACCTTTTATGAATTAGTTATAAAATTTAAAAAAACTTACTTAAATTTTTTTTATCCAAACCGTTTAATTTAATTCGAGCTTGCACAAATATTAAAAGCAGTTCTCTTAGAGCCCATTTGGATAAATTTTTAAAAAAATGAATTTTTATGCATTGCTTTTTTTAAAATAACTTTTTTTAAAAGATACAGTTATTTTACGTTTAGATGTATGATCTGAAAATCACTTTTACATAAAAATATTGTTTGGATGTTAAAATAAAAAAGCACTTTTTACATATAAAAAGAGAGATAAAATAGCATGATCGGGGGATAAGGAGAGATAAAATAGGCATGATATGATAAGGTTAAAATTGTATTTTAAAAATTTATATTATCTTTTTTCCAAATTTTTTTTTTATATTATCTTTTAATTTTTACTTTTTTCAAAAGCAACTAACTACTGGCTATAAAAAAAAGCAGAATTTAAACTTTTATTTTAAATTTTACTTTTTTAAAAAGTTGTTATCCAAACATCTAAAAATTCTCAAAAGGACTTTTATTTTTTAAAAAATAACTTTTTTAAGAATAAAAGCTCATCCAAATGGGCATTTAATACTGATTTCTTAATTTCAAAACTTACACTCGATATATCTGGTTAAGAAAATAAACTTTTTATTTATGATTATTTTATTATTTTACTCTTTCATTAGTCAGCGTTAACCTACTAACAAACTTATTTCACGATACAATCTTAATCTTACATTTGAAGGTTTTTCGACCATTGTAACCTTTCACTAATAAAAAATTACCATCTTGCTCTAATTTATAAACTACTTCAGAAATTTAACTTTCTCAACAAACATAACACCAATCTACCCATGTTTGACCGTTGACCACCCAGTTACCCAGGTAGAAAATTATTTACCGGGTACACACCCGGTTACCCTGGTACATATCCTTTTTTACCCTGGTACACACCGGGTTACCATGGTACATATCCTTATTTATCCTAGTACATACCTGGTTACTCTGGTACATGTCCTTATTTACCCTAGTACACACCCAGTTACTCTGATACATATCTTTATTTTCAAAGCCCTACTGTGAATCCAACTCAAATCCATCAATGAAGAAAACGTGGTTACATGTGTTTGTAATTTGTATGAAAAATTTGTTAAGAAAACATCCCTTTTAGCTAGAGCGAGTATTAGTGAGGTATGCACATTGAGTCCCTCGTCTATAATGTATAAAGACATCATTGCATATCCATAATTTTTTGTGAATAAGAGTGAAATTATGTATATATTTTAAAATTAATGTGAAGTAAGACGTTTTTATAAAAATTAAAAGCTTTAAAATCCAAAATTTTCATACAAATTACAAACACATTTAACCATGTTTTCTTCATTGATGGATTTGAGTTGGATTCACGGTTGGACTTTGAAAATAAGGATACGTATTAGAGTAACTGAGTGTGTACCGGAGTAAATAAGGACATGTACCAGGGTAACCAGGTGTGTACCAGGATAAATAAAGATATGTACCGGGGTAATCGAGTGTGTACCAGGGTAAATAAGGATATGTACCAAGGTAACTAGGTGTGTACCAGGATAAATAATGATATGTATCAGGGTAACCAGGTGTGTACCCGGGAAAATAATTTTCTACCCAGGTAAATGGGTGGTCAACGGTCAAACATGGGTAGATTGGTGTTATATTTGTTGAGAAGATTAAATTTTTGAAATAGCTTATAAACGAGGACAAGATGATAATTTTTTATTAGTGAAATGTTATAATGGTCAAAAAGCCTACATTTGAATGATATGTGAATTGTTTAATAAATTATTCATTCAAATGTTTATTATTGGATATACTATATGAATAGAATGTTACAATTATATCACGTCAGAAATCTATTTAAGGCAACTAGACAAAAGAAACAATTACTATAATAACTAATGAATTACCCGTGCGATGCCTGGGGAAAAAAGAACGAAATCGTTGTCGCCGTCGTTGGTTAATCATCGCATTGGTAAATCAACACCTTCATCTTATTATCAAGCTCTGAACGATACTATGGTGGAGGTATAAACATGAAGGAACAACAAATAAAAAAGCAAACATGTTACTTGGGAATTATGTGAAATAAAAAAGAATTATCTTGTTATTTTGTGCTATTTTTGAACTTTAAAAGGCTACAACATTCACACGGAACTTATAAATATCAACCACAAACAAATCTGCAACTCATGGGCATTGATTGTTATGTAAAACAAATATAGTTATGTACTCAATAATTCATTCTTTAAATATAACCACCAATGAACCTTCTCCTTTGTATTATTATTCGATATGATCCCGTCTTATTGTTTCAACCGTACATAAAATTTGCTACAAAATGAAATCAATTAATATACATGAAGAAAAAAAAATCAAATGTTATGCTGATTGTTCATTTTGTTTAGATGCACTTTTATTTATCACAATATGATTGTTCATTTTATTTAGATGTTTGTTTATGAAATATTTACAGTAGTAAATCTAATTATCTTAATCATACAAAGATAGGTTTGTTAGAGAGTAGATATAAAGGGGGAAACATGTTCGCGCGCGAGGTGGGCAGGCCCTCCGGGCCTAGCTCATTTTGCCACCTCTAATTGTCAACATTTTCTATCAACTTATAATAGGCTTTCGTATTTATCCATATAAAAAAGATTCTTATACGTACGTCTAGATTACAATGTATCTATTTTTTCTATAGTTGTACCATATATATTAGATGAATAGTTCAAAAATATTTGAGTTAGTACGTTTAATATTTTAACAAACATTTTATAGTTGAAGTTAAATGTGGTAATATCAAAAGACCATTCATTTGCTTAATTACATAAGTATAAATAATTGTTCACAATATATATATATATATAAACATATATTTAATGCATCATATTTAATTTGAATATGGTTAGTTTAGATGCTTGTTTTTGAAATATTTACAGCAATAAATCCAATGATCAGCTACAAAAAGATAGATTTGTTAGACAGTAAATATAAAAAAAAATGTGTTGGCGGGCAAACTCTACTATTTGGCGGGCAGGGTGGGCTGGCCCTCTAGGTCCCATTTTATCACCTCTAATTATCAACATTTTATATCAGCATGTAATAGATTTTTATATTTAAAAATCATAAGTTATGTCTAATTTATATTTTAAAGTGACATATAATTTTAAAAAAATTAAATGGAAGTATAAGTGTAATTTTACTTTGATTTAAGTATATATATTCGTTTACCAAAAAAAAAGTATATATAATCAATTCATTTGTTTTACTTCCAAAGAATTGGCTGGTATTACTCCACAATTTGATATCATGACTAATGTTGATTGTAAGTTTAATAATAACATCGCTTAAAAAAAAACTTTTTCCATTTGTTTTGGACAAAAAATAAAATAATCATTAAGTATTTTTAATTTTTAAAAAAACATCAATAGTACAAAACTTAAAATAAGAAATAGAAATTTAATTATAAAATAAGAAAGGAAATTTTTTAATTTAATTATAAAAAAATAT